TGTACGACCAGGCACCACATAACAAATGGTTGAATATGGAGTAAAGTGAAATTCCATTTTTAGCCAATTGTTGACCAAGGACCATGCGACAAAATGCTCGAAGAAACGACGACCTTCGTGAATGCGCGTAACAGGGGGCAAGGTGCTGATAGCTGACCGAACCTCTGCACTGGAACTCATCAAATCCACAAGCTTTGGTCCAGTGATCCGTTCTTGTTTGCGGCTTTGCTGGTTGATGAGGAGGTCGAATGTTACCCGGATCAGATTGAAAACATCCAGATTCAGAACCGTTCCTGGCAACGAGAGGAAAAAATAGACAAACACCACGTTTCATTCGTCTACCTATTAATGTTATGTAATAAGTATGGTATCAATGTTCGGCTCGAGTGCTGTGAACAGTCAGCAAGTGCAAGGTCGGTCAGAAAGAGGATGTTCTATGTGGGATGCGAGTACAAGGAAGAAACGATATACCTCGAGAAGGTAACCCTTGGTCAACATGCAACGACTGTGTTCACTTTTAGTCTAGCCGTTTGAGACCGAGAAAGGGCCGCTTGGATGATCACATAAAAGAACAAGCAATACAGTTGTAACAGCAACGGTTGTACTGACTCTCTCACTTTGTCACATTAATTAGAGAGCTGATCCAACTTAGTCTTAATCCGACAAGTGTTGAAGCGACCGACAGAGGTTCTTCAACTGTCCCAGTCTCGGAACAAATAGTCCGAAACCTCCGCTGAGTTGCGATCGGGGACGACCTAGCCTCAGATGATCACGTGGGAAGAGCCATCAACAAGCAGCGGCTTCTGCCCTAGTATCCCCCTCCATCCGATCGAAGAAGAATGCTACTCCAGGTTCCTGGGTGTTGAGTTAACTGTTGATATAACTATGTACCGAGTCTCTCATGTTCCGTTGTTCCTCCCTGAATCGTATCATCCCACTGATTCAATAAAGCTGTCGGAATCGAAAGCTCAGTATGAACAACAGACTACATGCGTGCCTATTTAACAGTTCAATCGTAGCGGAAGTGGACATTCATCAGGCGTATCAGTTAATTTCAACAATCTTCGTTGCATGTACATGAGTCGAGCATTCAACATTTCCATTCCACACAACTCATTTGTATTTGATGATTGTAGATCTAAGGCCCGAACGCCATGAAGCTGAAAGTGTTGAGAGCCTAATAAGTCTACTAGGCTACCGATCTGGAACGATTTAACAAATGCGTGTCGTATTAAGAGAACGAAATTCTCACTTGATTGTGCATCGACTCGTCGACGGCAGTTGTCACATGCATTGGGGCAATCCCCCGGTGACCAGCTACTGTCTGTAAGGTGCCTTGCAATCAACTGACGACGGCAAGTGACCGGATCTAGACAGTATGCAACCATGTGGTACAATTTGACCAACCCTGTTCGTTCCGAGGACACCATACTGGCCAGACGAAATAAATCCGCAAATCTCCAAATTAGTACACACGACGACGGTCCCCCGTCACGACCAGCTCTTCCAGACTCTTGGTAGTAGTTTTCCAAACTTTTGCTGGTCGAGTAGTGTAAGACGAAGCGAACGTTTGGTTTGTCAATTCCCATGCCAAAGGCTACCGTGGCCACCATAATCTATGATCAAAAATGGGATAAACGAGAGATGGATTGTTTCCAATCATAAAAATCCCTTAAAATAAATACATTCTGGACGAACCACTGATAATGGCAAACAAAATACCAAAAATAAAATAAAAGCTCACATTAATCTTCTCCGTGAACCATTGGGTATGAACTTTGGAACGCAGGTCTGCTTCCATATTAGCGTGATAGCAGGCAGCCTTCAAACCCAGTTCCCGGAGGCCGTGAGCCACATCTTCAGTGTCTTTCTGGGAGAAACAGTAAACGATTCCTGGCAGCAAAAAGAACGAAATTCAATTGATTGGTTCAATCTGAACAAAGGTGTAACTCAAGTGTGAAACCAATGACTAAAGCTATTATTCATGTTGAAAACTTCCCTTCCGTTTAAATTTCAATCTTGAGTCTGTCAAAGTTTTATTATGGGATTAACTTACAACCTGGTGCTTCTCATGTCCCATAGGAT